CTGAATCTTGACAACTTCAAGCAGAACAAGATCTCAAAGCGGACTGAGTTCCAGAACAAGAACAAAAAGAACTTTTCTGACTGAGGTCCAGACTGAATCTTTTCATACAAGCAACGATTCGGTGAGTTTTCACTCTATTCAAAGAACCAGACCAGTACCAAAGTTGTGCCTCTGTGCCGTCAGAGAAAGAGTTATCAGGCAGCTGTAGTGTTTGATTAACTAAAGTTATCCTTTAAAAGTGGTCTTTTAAAGATGATAGATATCCTCTGTTGTCAGGCAGGGAAGATTGACATTAAATGTTAATATTTTGGGATCCTCTGAATAAGTCAGGGAAGTTGTAAGATATCCTCTGAATGAGTCAGGGAAGTTTTGTCGAACGGAATAGTGCCTCTACGTTGCTAGAGAAGATATCCTCTAAACTTAGGGAAGATTAACATTACGTGTTAATATTGCTGATAACCTCTGTTCGCAGAGAAGGATTAGCATTTTTTTTTTTGCTAGTTATTGTGGTCTTATCCTCTAAAAGTTAGGAAGGTGAAAGACCCTTTCCATTTTCTTTCAGGGAAGATTAGCGTAACATGCTAATATTTGTGTTGTTTGTTTGTTGTTGTTTTGTGGTGTTACCCTCTAAAAATGTATTTTAGAGATAAAAGTTTGATCCTCTGTACAAGCAGGGAAGGTTAGCATAAAGTGCTAGTAATATTGTGGATTTTCCTTTGCTTTGTCAAAGAAGGTTTACAACAGTCGATCTGTGTAAACAAGTGTAGCCTCTGTTGATCAGAGAAAGTTAGTAGTTGTTTTGTGTGATAACAAAGAAACTCACAAAATGGTTGTGACGAATGCTAGGTTGGTTCCTACAACTGAGAAAAGTGGCCTTGCCGCTCCATTGTGGTCAGATAGTGAATTTAAGTCATTGATAGGAGAGCACATGGACTCCATAGTGACTCAGTCAGTCAGAGTGAATTTGACAAAGAAATTTGGCATTCACCTAGAAAAAGTATGGTCGATGGAAGATTGTAAAAAAGTGCTTGGAGCAAGTATTCGCAAGAACAATATGAAAGCTATTATCTGTTGTTACAAAGAATACAGTTTATCCATTGCACAAGAGCAAGCTAGGTGTATTGCTAAGTTAAATGAACAGAACAAACAATTGCAGACTCAATTGTCCTGTTTCAAGACAAAGGTGGGCCATAACCAGGCCTCAGCCAAATGTAACACTGAAGACCAACAGTCAGATGAAACTTTTCCTGACTTACAAGCATTGTTTGAAAGAGATGTAGACATCCCATCAGTAACAGATAAGCATGTAAATTCAGTGAAGGTGTGTGCTGCCAGAAAAAGACCGCAGGGAATTGAAGAGTCAGAAAGTGTTCCTTCCAGTGCTTCTGTTGTTCAAATCCAAACTGTTGCTACAACGCCCGGACCTAGAGACATTGAGAGATTGTCACAGAGTTTAAAGTGTATTCATTGACAAAGGACCACTGGTCCGCATCTGGTCAGATGGCCTTATGGCTGACTACAGAAGAGGTTTGCCATTTTTGGATCTGACTTGGTCTCACAGAACTCTTAGAAGTAACCTGGACAGGTTAACTGCTTGGGAAAGAGATTTTGATGTTAAGGCAAGAGTACAAATTGCAGCAGCTTCTTTTAAGGTCAGCACAGAAAACCCACAGAAACGTAAATGTCCTAAGAGAGAGGGCAGGTGTTATTACTGTGGTCAGCCGGGACATTGGAGCAGAGAGTGTAGAAAAAGCAGAAAGAACGTTAACGAAGTCAACCTTTTTGCCCAACTTCTCAGTTTGCTTGCTATTCTGAAGCCGCCATTCCCCACGTCTTTAAACGGGTGGGGCAGCTTGTTGACGTGTTAACCATTTGGACTGTGAGTGCTTAATTTCCCCAGTAACTTACAACAGAGATAAAAGACTTGTGTTTGTTTAACGGAACAAAAGGAAAGTGACTGTCTCAGCTTTTCCTTTGGGGGACTGCTTTAAGTAAACTCACAGCCTTAAATGTTATTCTACAGCACAGGCCTTTCATCAATAATAGTGTTAGGTCAGACTGTAAATGCCCACATGCAGTGTCCGCAATAATGAATGAAGCAAAAGTCAATTTTGTCACCTTTTCCCATTGGGGAAATTGGTTTAACTACCCGCACCCATTCTCACGTATGATGTCTACAACGACTGATGTTTTGTTAGAGGATAAAGGAGAAATAACTCATGATTGAGTTACGCAGATCAAAGTACACATGTCACAGGAGAGGTCAAGCCATTAGAGCCTAATTGGCATGTGCCCCAACAAGTAATGTTGATCGGCAGTATTGTGTCAAGGAAGAAAAGAAACTTGGTATCATGTATCACAATGAAAAGTGTTCTGCAAAGTTCTGCCCACTGACAGGGACATAAAAAGGACACGAACCAGTAAGTAACCCAAGGGAAGAACCGAAATGCCATATGCGTCGGGGGTCACCCCTTGGGCGAAGATTCCCTCATAGGCCTTCCCCATCCATTTAGTCTCATCCTCACCTCACTGTCTTCTTTAGGTGTCAAGAATTAAGAAATAGGGAAAGAGGGAACAATAGCAGACTCAGTGTTTACTCAGCAGGATACAACCCTTGTCTTTGAAGAAATACTGCTCTCCTGTCTTTTGTCTTCCTGTATGCAGATACCACTTGATGGCTATCCCGAGACCCATACGCACAGACGTCTTCACCTGCGTATGAAGCCACCACTTCCAGAAAACAACGAGACCCACTGCCGAGCCAACTCTCACCAAAGTAAAGAAAGAAAAAAAAATACACATCGCAGAGAAAAGACTTACGGAACCTTCAGTCATCCATCAACATTATCAAGATGTATTAACCATCAGGACATCGCACAAAGTGAAGACTCCAGAATCCTTGTTTTGCTGGAAACATTGCAGGCCACAGCCGAAGATGGCTGCATTGACTCACTTGTGCACAAAACATGATGGTTTAACAGTCTGAATCTTTCAGCAAAAATTACACCAGATGTAACTGAAGTTTAATTCTTCCGTTAGAGCTTCACGGACCCTACTTGCATGTTTGTTTTCTGTGTCAGCATGCAATTACAGAAAAAGCAAACACAGAACATGTGCCTGTAACTAGCAAAAGTTACTAGAGTGAACTTTTAATTGTTTAAATTTGTACTTGAGAGTTATTAGTACTCTCAAGAGGGGGAAATGTGAGATTACAAATTTTATTAACATGGTTAATTTAATGTTTTAAATGGAGAAATTCTGAAAACAGTAGGAATTCCCAGTGTGACCCTCCTGATTGTCCTGTGACCACATGGGAAAGCTAGGCCTTTCCTGTTTCTCGTCTCACCGTGTGAAAATGCCTGTTTGATGTTAGAACAGCTGCTACTGTATGTTAATGTCTGACACCATTTGCCTTGGAAGTTGGAGTTCCAGGGTCACATGCATTTCCATTTGCTTTGTCTCTTCATGTAATCCCACCCTCTTTGAAATGTATAAATTAGAATGTAAGGTTCTTTTAAATCAGACTATCCTTGAGATGACTACAGCAACGTAATTAAAGAACTTCTGCATGAAAGATACCTCAAGAGTCTCCTGGTCTGTTGCGTGGAAGAATAAAAACTTCACTACAGCGTACATAAACCATCAAGATGGTCTACGCTCCTGCCGTATGTCGCAACTTGCACGCCACCTCCTCTTATGTAGTCAGAAGCACCTGAGGTCCCTTCGTGCTATTTATATTCCAGAAGATCAGAACTTTACAGCCGATGAGCTGTCACGGTTTCGGCCCATCTCCGGCGAATGGCGACTCCATCCCCAGTCGGTCCAGCTGATTTGGGACCAGTTCGGGGACGCACAGGTAGACCTGTTTGCCTCCCACGACTCATCCCACTGGGCCCTGTATTACTCCCTGACCGAAGGCACGCTCAGCATTGACGCACTTGTGGCGGGCAGTACAAAAGAGAGAGAGAAACAGAAAGAAAATCGACTACGCCACCCTGGTCGCTAAGCCAGGGAAAGGGTCCTATTAAAGACACACAGGTTCGGTGTCTCCCTTATATAAAGACTCTGAGACGTGGATATAGAAAAATACAAAAAGATTCTTTATTTAGACAAAGATAAAAATGCTGGTGTGCCAGTCAGTTAGGTTAACTAGAACATCACACAATAACAGCTCACAGGGCTCGTGATCACCAGAAGCAGGATGGGCTAGTGTCAGACGTCGCTAGTCTTAGTGATGGTAAAGGAGCACCCACACGTGCACCACACTTCACCCTCAATCACGTCAACCAAGACCAATCACTATGGATTGCAGACCACACACTGCGTCTCATCAGGACCCGTCACCAAAATTGGACAACTAGCCCTCCTGCTCCGGGCTCACCGTGCCTGAAACACAAGAAATGAAGAATTACAAAAATAAATCAACAAAATAATTCAAACAATCATACTCATGGGTACCCAATGTACAGGACACCACATACGAGACATACAATACTATGCGCAACTAGACAAAACACTCCACAATCCACTCAAACCTGCACTCATCAGTGTCAGTGATTGTGAATGGATCGCTACGGGCCCACAGGAACAGTCTCCCTAGGCCGGTTACCACTCACAATCCCTCTTTTCCTTGGAACCAGTCAGGGATAACTTACAGTGAGCAAAGAGAAATAAACATTATTCACAATCCAAGCAAAACACAAAAAACGAGCACCCAAAAATAATAAACAAAACATCCATTACAAAACGATACATCAACGAAATCACAAATAATAAAACAACCCAAAAAAAAAAACACAGAATGTAAATTATACTGAAACCAAACAATTAATTACACCCACCCAACTAATACAGCCAAATAACTCAAACAAAAACAAAATAAAACATTAGCAGTGCGGAAGCGTGCTCAGACGTGAGCAACTGCACTGAAGCATGTTGATAAGGGAATGAACACAAAAAAAACTAAAAAATAAAATTGTAATGGGAACAAGACAGCAGCGACGACAAGTCCTAGAGCCGGTAAGTGTAGTCTTCAAGTGCCCTTAAAACGGCAGATCAAGTCACCTGCAAAAGCCTGACTATGAGCTAAAATATGCATAGCATTAATTTACTATTGTACAATTGCTGGCACATACCAAACATGCGGAGATCGCGCCACTCGTCCAGTCGGCAAGAGATGAACAGTCATGATAAGCTGGAATACACAAACCCCATAATAATAACTATACGCTCATTAATTAAATACAGCCGAAAGGGCCAGAGAGAGACCTACCAGGAAGTCAAGCAGCAATACACCCCCGATGCTGAATGCAATTCATACCCGAAACGGTCGTCTACGGCAACCAGCGCGTGTTGCCAGGCATGCAACCCTCAGCACAACGAGTGCTTTTCTGCAAACAGCCCAGAACCTGACAAGAGTAACACTCAATCTAATGTTCGTTAGGCTCGAGCCTAAAAAAAAAAACAGCCGTCACACTCACCTCAGCCAGAGCACCAGACAGTCGCAAAAATAATGACGTGCTAGAACGCGGTCGCACATTCACGCAATCTCCGGTGACACCACTTTAATATACCCCTTGGAATGAATTACCTTAATCTATCAATGAATTGAGTGCTGATTACCTGCGTGCATCTAGGGCGGAGTCTCAATCTAGAGAGAGAACATCAACAAACAGCGGCACTTCACTACACACTGGTGCACAGCTGGCCGCGGGGCCTCCGCTTATATGCGTTTCCCCCAGTGAGCCTTCTTGTATGGACCCTGTGCAAGATCAAGGAGGACGAGGAGCAGGTCATTCTGTTTGCACCACACTGGCCCGCCCGGACCTGGTACTCCGAACTGATACTCCTCACGACAGCACCTCCTCCCAATTCCTCTGAGGAAGGACCTCCTTTCTCAGAGACAGGGGACCCTATGGCATCTTGGAACCTCCACCTGTGGCTCCTGGACGGGACGAGGCAGGTTTGAGTACCCTGCCACCTGTGGTGGCGGCTACCATCACTTCCGCTAGAGCATTGTTCACGAGACATGCCTATGCGTTGAAGTGGAACCTCTTGGTCAACTGGTGCTCTTCTCACCGAGAAGACCCCAGGAGATGCCTGATCAGTGTCGTGCTTTCCTTCCTGCAAGACGGGTTGGAGCGAAGGCTGTCTCCCTCCACCCTGAAGGTGTATGTGGCCGCTATCGCCGCATATCACGAAGCAGTGGAAGGTAAATCTCTCGGAAAGCACGACCTGATCATCAGGTTCCTGAGAGGAGCGAGGAGACTGAATCCTCCTCGCCCTACTCTCATTCCCTCTTGGGACCTCTCAGTGGTCTTAAATGCCCTGCAGAGGGCTCCCTTTGAGCCTCTGCAATCAGTTGAGCTTAAGTATCTGTCTCTTAAGATGGCGCTCCTGGTTGCACTGGCCTCCATCAAAAGGGTAGGGGACCTGCACGCATTCTCCGTTGACGAAGCGTGCCTGGAATTTGGGCCGGGTTACTCTCACGTGTTCCTGAGACCCCGGCCTGGATATGTGCCCAATGTTCCTACCACTCCCTTACGGGACCAGGTGGTGAACCTGCAAGCGCTGCCCCTGGAGGAGGCAGACCCAGCCTTGGCACTGCTCTGTCCAGTACGCGCACTTCGTGCTTACGTAGACAGAACGCAGTGTTTCAGGACCTCAGACCAGCTCTTTGTCTGTAATGGTGGGAGCCAGAAGGGAAAGGCTCTCTCAAAGCAGAGGTTGTCCCACTGGATAGTGGACGCCATTGCTTTGGCTTACCAGCAGCATACATCTGTAACCGAGACGTTTCTACTGCTGAAGCAAATTAATGTCTTTCCAATGATAAAGCTGCTTATACAAATACAATGCTAAATATGAACATATTGCCAAACAGAGTACATGTCATGGATATCAAATGAATATTAAAGCTCTTACAAAAATTAGAAATGAAAGGGTTTATTTTCTGTTACATTATCAGAGTGGAATACTGTCTTAAAACATTCTGCACACTTAATATACAACAGTACATGGTCTTACAAGTACAAGTATATAAAAAACTCAGGACGCAAGTATATAAAATAGTGATGGGAAGTCCGGTTCTTTTCCGCGAACCGGTTCTTTCGGACAGTTCGTTTCAATGAACCGGTTCAAAAAACTCGTTCACCGGTTCTTTTTTACGTCCTCACGTAATGACGTCATTTAGAGTGACGTAATGACGTAACGTCTTTCATCCCGCCGGTACGCATACACTTAAACACATTTAAATAAAGTAATTTGTAAATAACGAAATTAAATAACAATAATCATAATCTTGGATAAGTTTAGCTTCTGAATTGTCCAATACAGGCTGTGGTGAGATCTGGTACTACCTCAGCCCTGAAGAGCGCCTGGTATCGAAGTGGCCAGGTGCCTTTTGCTGTCAGGTCAGAATTTCTGGATAAACGTTCCTTATAGCTCATTTAACCTATACCAGTGAATCTAGGTGTATCCCTACACTCATGTGAACCAATACATTATTACTAGCAACAACCATCAATGCAATTCATACTCACCCTCCGTGGAGATGCTTCCGTGGAGTCCTGGTGACCTCTTGCTCTCGCAAGGGTAGCTTTAATGCTCTTACTATTGCTTATAGAACTGGTATTGTGACCCGAGGCAAAGAACTATTCAACTTTTATCTTTATAAAATGAAAATTTATTTATACAAACGATAATAACACTGGTTACACAATGATTGTTAATAGTAGCAACAAAAGAAAAGGTTACAGATTATAATACCTCAGTTTCTCCCAACTTAACAGGGCAGTCCTGTATAAGTGGTTCAGTCACAAAGTTTTTCTTAACATACACAGTTCAAGTATCAAATGAATAACTAACCTTGTCTTTCTATGAGCAGGTCAAGTTAACATCAGACAGCTAAGCAGTTAAAGCAATATATGTTCCAGCAAGCTGGACTGAAGAATGAATACCTTCAAGGATGCACGCAAAAAATCTTCTAGCAAGATGCAACGACTAACACTGAAAAAGCAGCCTTATTTATACTGGCGGTGTGACCCAATCTCTCAGACCATCTGGGTTTTTCCATACACTTGCAACACAATAGTAACGGATACACTTGCAACACAATAGTCATGCGAACAATAGTCATGCGACTCTTAGTTCCTCTTTTGAGATTCGCTGAGCAGGCAGTGTGCATTCTTTCTCCCCTTCCGAGTCTTGGGTTCTTTGGTCCTTCTTGAATGTGTACATGCATATAAATTCATATGTGTTTTTGTAAGTTCATTAAAATCTAAACTCTGCGTTGCAAGGCGCTAATGCAGTAAATGCAATAACCCCAGCATGTTTTATTTGTTATTAAATAAACGTACATTTCGCCAAATTCGCATTTCGCAGCCTCATTCAAGTCCTCACCTCAGTCACCCGCGCGTGCTGCTCATATGCATCAGTTGTCCAAAATAAAAAGTTCTGTTCAGCTTCAGCAGTGCTGTCATCGTGCCTGCTAGTGTGCCTGCCTGCCATGCATGTTGTTGTGTGTGTGCACCGCCACCTCCTCCACGCATGCTCAATAAACTCATCATCAGCGCAGCGGTTCTCAGATGGTCGGACGTGTCCGAGAAGAAACAGTTGTCGGTTCAGTGTACTGGTGATTCGAAACTGCTTGAGAATCGCGGCTGTAGCAATAGCAAGCAAAACGGTAGCAATAGCAAGCAAAATAGCAAGAGTGATGGTGGCTTCATAAGCTTTCGTTGTACTTTAATGAACTTATTTAGAAATAAGCTGTTCCTGAAAATATCATGCATTAATGTTAACACAAATAGCCTAAATGTTTAGTTTGACAGTTTTGCAAAACATTAATTGTTTCAAACCTTTAAAATGTAGCAGTTGTGTTGTGCTTTCATGTTAATTATTTTTCTGTAATGCTTTATAAACAACATTTATATTTCGGAATGTTAGATAGCCTAATTAAATTATTTAAATCTGTGTTTAATTATTTATGTTCATGTTGCATTATGTAGCTTCTTGTGCGTACAGTATATATTCTGTTTGCTATTATGCTATTTGTGTGTATAAGCACAATAAACTTTTTTTTGGTATTTTACACTTGATGTTTTTTCTTTACAGTATTACAGTAAATGCCTAAATATACTCGCAAGGATAAATTATAAATAATTATAAATTAAAAGGATATATTAAGAGGATTATAGAGAAAACTATTATCTCTTGGTTAGGCTTTTTATTCTACTAAAGGCTCTCCCCTTGTTGCCAAGGGAGACTGGGTGTTACCTCAAGTCAAAGGGCATGAACTAACCCTTCCCCCACAGCTGCTGTATACTGTTACAGAACTTAGGGTACCTTAAGCCCCACCTCTTTTTGACACCTCTCAGTCCAAAGTTCACAAACAACAAGGTAGAGACAGGTAGAACATTTTTTGAAGATGACCTCCAGAAAGAGGAGCAATATTTGGCTTCACTTTGATGAGGCTGGACCCCAGAAAGCAAAGTGCAAGCTTTGCAACAATATTTTGTCAGGCCAAGGAGGGACAACTTCAAATTTCAGAAGACATCTTCAGACAAAACATCCAGCTGCATTGCTTGTGCAAGTAAGGCAAGAATCTACAGAATCGGCATCAGAATCAGGTAGTTGTGCTTCTACTGCTGCTGTCTCCTCTGTTACTGCCACTACTGCATCCTCATCTGGCACCAGTGTCCAAAGGACAAGACAAAGTCAGATGACAAGCTTTGTGAGAACACCAATTGGCCCTGTTAAACAAAGCAAATTGGATGAGGAGTTAGTTAAGATGATTGCTATGGATTTTCAACCTTTTTCAATCGTCAGTGACACTGGATTTAGAAGATTCGTGAAGGCAATTGATCCATCATACATTTTACCGAATCGAAAGACTATATCAAACACTCTGATGCCACAGCTCTACAACAGAATTAAAGAAGAGGTGAAGGTGAAAGTCAGCAATGCCTCTGCTGTGTGTCTGATGACTGATACATGGACGTTACGAACAACTACAAGTTTTATGTCGGTCACTTGTCATTTTATTGATGAAGATTTTGCTCTTTCATCACCTCTTCTTGACTGCTTTTCATTCACTGACCGACATACTGCTGACAACCTGGAAGCTGAACTTAAAAAGATATGTGAAGAGTGGGGAATCACAAACAAAGTGGTTGCTTGTGTTACTGACAATGCCAGCAACATGAAAGCAGCTGTCCGGAAAGCTGAATGGAAGCACTTGCCATGCTTTGCCCACACACTGAATCTGATTGTGAGGGAAAGCTTAAAACACATTCAAGGGACAGTGACAAAAGTCAAGAGTGTTGTTGAGTATGTCAACAGAAGCACTGTTGCAACAGAAAGACTAAAGGCAACACAAAAACAAATGGGCCTTGAAGAGCTGAGGCTAAAGCAGGATGTAATTACAAGATGGAACTCCACGTATTACATGCTAAAAAGATTTTGGCTGCAGAAGGAAGCAATCATTGCTACAATTGCACTGGTAAACCCCAGCCTTCCAACCCTGACACTTGACGAATGGGACATGATTAAGGATGTTTGTGAGATTTTGAAGCCCTTTGAAGAAGTCACTGTTGAAATTAGTGGTGAAAGGTATGTATAATTTAATTTAACATAGAACTGCTTCCACTTGTGAAATATTTGAAATAATTAATGATTTTGTCATATTT